AAGTGTGACCACTTGTCCTTTTTCATGTTTACCCACAACATAACATGCTTCCTAACCAGACGGAGAGGGATTTAGGGTTAGTACCTTGAGCACTATGAAAGCTGATTGGATGAGCCCGGGGTCTGCTCCTCTCCATATGACCTGATTTCCCATGAGCACGTGCCACACAAGCTGACGAAACTCGGCCGCCCCGAGGACCTGCAGACCCAGTCAGACTGTGATGTACAACGGCTCACAGACACACAACATGAGCTAATATCAGAATGAGATGCAAGTTCTTAGTAATTCTTTTTAGTAATAGTTGAAATATGTTAAGTGGCAAAAAGCCATAAAGTCTTGTGTTTTTTATAATGATCTCACTAGGTGGAGGGTTTTTATTATCTCTATATCTATGTGTTTTCTGTTAACTTACATCCTTAGTTTAATACAATTGTGCAAAACACAAGATCAAAATGTACTAATCTTTACCTGTCTCAAATGCCTCAGTGACCAAAACTTGGGTCCTGGTAATTCATCCAATTTTCCATCATCACACAGGAAGTCGTGGGCCAGCTCGCTTTCTGACTGGATCCGTTGTGGCCTAGGGCCGCCTCCTTCTGCGCCCTCCCAGCAGCTCATTTCCTCCTCTTGCTCTGATGGAAAATGAGAAATGGCTTTAAAAAATAAAAACAACGATGACTGAATGCTGTCAGAATGTCGGGGAAGTCCACAGAAAGTTGTCATTACGAAAGATTGTCTTGATATCACACTCTGTTTACCGCCTGCACCACGTGATGCTATGAGTCCGCTATTTCCTAAACAAAGTCAGTGGTGTACATCTGACCTCTTTTTTACGACTTAGTCCAATCCCTGTCAGACCACAAAGACAGGCCACAACAGGTTTTAAACAAGTTGTTTGAAGTGGCTATTTTATTTGTACTGCTTGAATATTGCTTATTAAAAATGATTTTATCAGATCCTGTAATTCATGTGTATTTATTTATCCCTTTGTAACGGGATTTGGTAAAGTGCAACAGAAACCAAACTGATTCCTCTACAATATTAACATGAGTGAACAGGAGATTAAAATTCCACAATCTAAGAGCTGTGTTGTACTGGGGCACGTCTCTGTAAATCTTTTAATCACTTTCTAAATCTTGAATAAAAATTGTGTAAACACTTTCTGGAAAGGCAGTGTCTGTGAATACAGTGGTATAGTGAATCACTGGTTTTCTGTCTCTCACTGACTGACCCAGTGAATCAGAATTTCACAGGAGACTTTTCAGACTGATGATAAATCTACGACACATTGTGCAAACACATGACATCCGATGATGTCAGCCATAAGGAGGCCAAAATATGCTGAAGTGTTACTCAGGTTACTGAAGCTAACAGTCAACTCAATTCAAGTCCATTCAAATCAATTCCATATGATTCCATTCAGACGCTTAACTGGGATGAAGTAAGAATGTTTGCCAAAAGCATAAAACTAATCAATGATCAACTAATAAGATCATGAGAACTTGATCTATGATATAAATATCACCATAGTGTGTGTTGCCTAGAAGGCTTGTGTGTACGTGTGTGGGTCTGTGTGATGATCAGATTTGGGCAGCAATGCCCCGTCTGCCACCCCTAAAGCTATTTTTAGCTGCGTGAGGTCGCTAAGCTCCTACAAACCTTAATTAAGAGAGGTCAACTTGCAAAATACATTTGGCTTATATCACTTAAATTTGAACTTTATTGGAGGAGGAGCATTTCTGTCTCAGCCTCACCCGTTGAACCTTACAATTTATTCTTTCTTTTTTTGTTGGCATGATTTTTTGTTTCCTTTTTGGATTTCAAGTTTGGGGTCACTGAGCCCGTACTTGTTCAATATCTGTTTCTGCTTCCAGTCTTTGAGTATCGGGAGATATTGTGACCATTTATGATCTCTTTTAAGGGACAGAATATACGTTTTCTAGAGCCTGACTGATACTGTTTTGTTTTTAGAGGTAAAAAGAGCAGATTACAGTCATGAAAGCAGGTGTAAAATATGTTTTTAAGCTGGAAAGAAAAAAATAAATTTTCTGTGTTGATCGAGGACCATTTGAACACCAATATCACTTTGCAACTTTCTAACAAAAGAAAAACGATTCACAATGATAGACATTTATACTGGTATACTTGAAACCACCAGCTGCTCGGCTTCAAATGTCTGTGTCATGTGCAGTAGACAGTAGGGCGGCTCGATTATGGCAGAAATCATAATGATGATGATTTTGATTAATATAGAAATCACAATTATTAAACATGATTACTCAATGATTTGACATTATCATTCTGCAATAATCCTACTTACACACTCTTTACATTAATGTTCTGAACATTAAAAAAACAAGCAATCGAAAAAATATTAAAAGTTAAAAAATATAAATACTTAAAAACACATATATTATTAAAAAAAATAAAAAATTAACTATGTCTTTGAGTAACTAGTGAAGAACTCTTATGGCCAAAATAGAAATGTGTTATTTAGCAGCAGGATTGAACACTTAAATGGAAATTATACTGTATGTCACATTTTTTTTAGGCGCTGAGCACCACTAAATGTCTGATCCTAAAATAACCTCTAATTTTGACAACAGGTCATTGTATGTTTTTACCCTGTCACATGCTTGAACAGGTGTTAGCAGAGGTGGGAATCGCCTGAGGCCCCACGCTATATTATTACAATAGCTGAGTCACGATACGTTATTATTGCGAATTTAAACATTTTACGATATGCTGAGTGCAGAAATGTTTATTCAAATTGTGCAACCCCTTCAGCAATTAAAAAAATTAAAAGAACAACTGCTATTAATATAATTGAAATATCAATACTTGGCGGCCATGAGACGATATAATATCGGCACACAAAATATCGCGATACTATACTGTGTCGATTATTCCCCCCACCTCTAGGCGTTAGTTTACCAAGGTTTGCATTACCTGTCTGTCTCTCTATGAGCACCAGTGTGTCCTCAGTGGGAGCCCCCTCCAGCAGCTTCTCTGTCAGACGACTTCCACAGGCCTTCAGCAACCTGGTGTCATTATGATAACACACATTAGCATTACATAGTGAGCTTTGGAAAAAGACAACTGCATGTATGTTATTGCAGGACTGCAGACAGTTTATCAGCTCACCAGCTAAAGGAGGAGTGCAGACTGGCCCAGAGGTTGGGATGCTGGGTTAAAGAGGTTAGTGATCTGGCTGCATTTCCACTCCTCTGATGAGGGAACACAGCAGGCGAGAAGACGCTGTTCATTCTCACTGCTCGCTGGGGACACACTCCTTGTTCACTGTCAAACACCTGATGGAGATCACAGGGACAAAACATTAAGTGATCCTTAATAAAAACATGCATAAAACTACAAAAAAAAAAACATGTTTCTATTAAAGTAAGCTATATAAAGGCATGAATCATGTGTGTTCTCTACCTTGAGGGCTGTGCTTTGTAGGCTCTGTATGGTGAGTCTAAGGTGGCGTAACAGGAAGGGCCAGGAGTTGATGAGGTAGATTCTGTCCATTGCTACCATAACTATACTGTACCAGCGCTGGAAGCCCCTGGCCAGGCTGTCTTTGATAAAGAAGGTGTGTGAGAACACAAAACCGTGCTGCTCATCTCCAAAGAAAATGGGCCCTTCACGTCCAGGGCACACCTGATGAAGCAGAAAAACAGAAACAAAGGTAGAAGCTTTTGCTGCAACTAAAAATGAAAAAAAAAAAAAACCCAACAACAATAGGTTGCATTTATTTCATGCAATGAGATCTGTGACTCCAACACAATACATGAAGACGTACGTCACTGTTTACCTCACAGCTGAGGCTGCGTACGCACGCCTGCCGGACCACACTGAAAAGCTGCGGCTGTCTGGGATGCTGGTGGCTCAGGAAACGTATTCCTGTTTCATCATCTATGCTCACAAAGCCTGGGTGAGATGCAGGCAGAGATCGGCATCCCTACGGGGCAAAACGAGGAGGCAAACTCAATTATAAACAGATAAGACAATACTCTTCTGGATAATAAAAAGTTTCAATGTTGAAGATGGGTTTAGAGAACGGTTTCTGATGACTTCACATTAAGTTGACATGCCATCCTCCACTCACATCACACATCTCTCCTCTCTGGGTGGCTGAGCTGTTAGCCCTCATAGTAAGCCCTTCGCCTTCCCGGTCACCATCTCGGTCCCTGTCCCCAGGCACAGGGACACCTGTCTGGGATGAAGGAGATGGGGATGGAGGATGCAGTGCCTCCGTGCAAAACAATGTCCGAGGGCCATGGAGCTCACAGAAATGACAGAGAGCGACAAGAGCGTTCATCTGGAGAAACAAACAACAAGTTAATCCCTGTTTGCTGTGCTGAATGCTGCAGGTTGACTCAGACACGGACAGTAACAAGCAGTGCATTACACAGTGTTTATTACATTTACAGCATTTTATATATTGTATAAGTTATTCTTACCTTCAGCACTGAGCCAAGTTCAACAAATGACTGGTACTCAAGGCTACTTCACAAAGTGGCATTCATTTGCCGCAACATCCAAACAGTCTTTACATAAATAGCAGCATAAAAAAATAAGGATTCAAAACAAACTCGATTCTTGATATAGTCCGTTTTTTCAGAAATACATAATTCTCAGCGAGTCTGAATTGGGTTTTCTACACTTTTCCTTGATCTATTTTCCATCCGTGCAGCTGCTTGCCGACAATAACACCGCGTGTCACATGACGTGAGTCACGCGCTTGAGCTGAAATGACGCATGGTAGTGGACGACGTCTCCTTTCCTCAAACTTTAACCCTTAACTCAGAAATATACGGCGTATTGTTTAATAAATAAATAAAATAAAAATAAAAACACGAAAACCAGTCATCAACTCGTTCATTTTCTCGAACGAGTGCTTTCTTAAATATAACCAGGAAGGTAAAATACTAAACTCAAATAGAAAACTTCATTACCCAGGGTTCCCCACGTGACAACAAACTCTGGGTCAAAGGTTGATTTAAAGCGAGCCTTGTTTACTTCTCTGGTTGGTGTGCTGAATATATGATAAATATTTTCCAAATAAGTGTTAAAGCCGTTTTTAAGTAGGTGATTTATTTTAGTGTTTGAAATCCAAAAGGTTTGCAATATTTAAAAATAACCCTCTTAACAAACCACTTCCGTATTAGCTGAAGTGATATGAACTCAATTTTCCTGTTTGAGGAGTGTCCGGTCATTATTTGTCTTTGTGTCAGTTCAAAGCTAAGGGTTTAGAGGCAAACACTGCAGTGACACAGCAAACTTTATTAGACTTCGGTATGGCATCGGAGGACGGATTGGAGATGCCCCCGGCTCAAGCAGCGGATCAGAGGGATGGTGGGGCAGTCACAGAGCACGTGGGCGTCCCATCTGACTCTACCCCCAATTCCTCCGCAGGTAAATCAGCCTATTTCTGTTTGAATGATAATCGGTATCTGTTTTGGTTCTCCAAAGACGTTTAATTTCGTTTAATAATTAATATGATGAGTCCATATAAAGTAGCCTATCATTGAAGAGGCTGTTATTTAGTTTTGTTATCTACTTTATGGGAATGCTTTGAAGTCATATCACTGGGATTTGTCTGAATCTTTTCTTTGTCGTTGTCGCCTCCGTCTGTGACTCATTTCCGTGTTAGTGTGAGCATATGAGTTCTGGTAACTTTTATCTTATTATGTGGCTGAGCTGAAGCTGAAGGGGGATCTCCAACATGCAAGTTGACCACTTTAAGTCTGCCATCCTTTAACACTTCATGCTGGGCGGCTGTGCTGGATAAGTCTCCATAGTTGGGAAGTGAGTCATGACCTTCAGAAGACTTACGCCTATCTGACTGAATCTACATCTACTTGTTTTGCTGGGCTCAAATCCAGATAAACTTTCAGAGGAAATTCTTAATTATTACTTTACCCAATTATTTGCTCTGAGATATGATGCCTGGAGACATGTTGCTCATGTTTTCCTGTGCCCCGTATCAACTTGTGCAAGCCGGTGCTCTCCCAGTGGGAAGGGAGATAAGGCAGCAAATAATTGAAGGATCATGGTCATGGTCTTTGATCATGAATCACTTCCAGTTCTGCTATCTGGAAACGGCATTACAGGGCTGGTGGTATGTGTTCAACTTTACAGACAACCGCATCCCAACTAACTTGGCTGACATTTGAGTCCCTATGGAGAAAGTCATTCCCACCTGTTACAGGGTTTATACTCCCGTGAAGTGTAATGGAGAGGAAGTCAAAGATTGTACATATTTGTTATTCCCAGAGTCAGCGTCCTCTTGGGAGTTATTCAGCACTATATCAACAATTTTGATTGCAGTATCAGACCTGGTTAATATAAAAATCACCAAAGAATATTTTTTGAGTTTTTCTGGCATTCTGAGTTTTAGCAATATCCATCCAATAAGGCGATGGTCTTCATTATTTAGTGTATTTTTCAGACATTACATACATTCGCATTTTATAAACATTAATGTGACTAAGTCAGAATTATCTATACGAGTCAATTTCAGGATACTACAGTAAGTTATACTAAGTACAACACATACATTGGCAGAAAAGAAGCAAAGAATGTCAACAGCATGCTGTTTACATTTCTCAAAATACCAATTATAATTTATCATTGCCCAATTAAGACACAGAGGATACACAGATAATATTCAGGTTTAAGGTGCAATATGAATTGAAATGTTTAACTCCTATTTTTATTTTCATTTTAACCTGGCTTGCTTAGTTGAAGTGAGCACTCTGTTCAGAAACAACCTGCCAGAGAGACGTGAGTACTGTCAGTGTCTGATGTAAACTGGCCTGTGTTCCTGTGGAGGCTTTTTGAACCTGTAGTCCTTTATCAGAAAGAAACCTCATAAGGGGGTGCTCTTAGTCTAGTGGTTAATGTGTGCAATCCATGTCCAGGCTGCAGTGCTCTAAGCCAGCAGCCCGGGGTTTGATTCCGACCTGTGGCTCCTTTCCCACATGTCATTCTGTCCCTGATTTCCAACTCTTTCCACTGTCCTATCTCTACAATAAAGGCATTAAAAAAGAAAACTGGAAAATAATTAAGTGGCAGGCATCACAAATATTTATTCACCTGTTGAATGACCATATAAAAAGCCATTTCTCTGTTTCTTTGATGTAATTGAAATCCAGTTTTATTAAGTGTTTACATTGTACTTTAATTAAACATCTGCCTTGCTCACTTTCAATCTTTCTCTTTCAGCCACAGAGTCAGCAGGACAGAATCCGAGTGATGTTGATGTGTGTCGCTTTTTCCTGATGGGAAAGTGTCACTTTGGACACAGATGTCGTATGTCTCACAGGTCTGCTCACCTTATCTTGTTCAGCAAACTCACCAACAGGATGTAGAGTAACTTCAAATTTCTTAGTTAGATTCTTAAAGTGTGCGTAACTTCTAAATAGTAAAAGCGACATTAAATGAGTTTGCAAATAACTCTTGCACTCTCAAAGAAGTCGTCCTTGATGTTAAAGGTTGGCTTCATTTTTTTTTTTAGCTTATCCTTAAAAAGTATACTTTGGAATTTATAGAATGTACATCTAAATCTTGTTTGTGGCTGCAAGTGGAAAAAATACATAATCCTCATTCTGAATTAAAATGAGTTTCAGGGGCAAAAAAAAAAAGGCTGTTTCAGCCGCAGTAACTGTGTCATTGTACATGTGAGCCTGTGAGTATTGATTACACATAGATTTTAAAAAGAGAACCCATCCATAAACTCCATATTAAGTTGTATCTGATACTGATGTCCTCTAAAGTGTCTTTTCATCTTCCACTTAATGCTTTTGTAATAGCTGAATCAGTTGAGAGGTTGAAATCCATTGCAGCAAAACTATTAGCATTCAATTAGTGCCCTGAATATGTTTTCCTTTTTGCTTATTTTCTTCTGGTTTTGGGAAAAGTATCTTTAAGAAAAATGGCTAAGTATATTGTGTGACTTTATTCTAGTTGATCTCATTAATTGTTTATATTACTCACCAGACAGACAAGGTCTATGTCTAACTTTAGCCATATTGGCTAAATCTAAATTTAGCCATAACGAAATACAGATGCTGCACATAGTTCATTACTGTTACATGAATCAGTGTTAAACTGGATTAAGACTTGTCTGATGTTTTTCCATTTGTTTTATGTATTTTAACATATTTTCATTTTCTCAGTGTCCCCTCATTAGATGATTCAGGGGCTGCCGCTCCTGACCAGGATGACAAACCAGACCAAGAAAAAGCAGAGAAACACAAGCAGAGAGTGAACAAACCAAAAAAGGCCACATATGAGGCAAAAGGTCGGCTCATGTCTTGTCTTATGTCATGTGCTAATGACATCACACTGTCACGCCGCCAGTCAGACTTTATTTGATCATGACTCACTTTTTCCCCACATTAATCTGTCAAAAACATTTTTCATATAATCCTCACACAGAAGTGAACAAAAAGCCTCGTATGCGTACAGCAGATGACGTTATTTCCCGGATCCTTTGGGACCCCACAGTGGATGCATCAGAGTTTGTGGTTGGGTATGTGGATCGCTTCCTGGGTGTGCTGGAGCGTCCCTTCTGTGACTTCAACTGGGACACCAATCCCTGTGACTGTGATTACACTACTGAGCTGGCCCTCCCCAGACACAGGATCCAGTACTTCACCTACAGAGGGTACCGTGTGTGGGATCGCCACACACGGACTGACAGGGTGTTTGGATCCACCGGTCAATCTCTGGCTCCCCCCTTTGGAGGGGACGAGGAAGTAAAGGGTAAAAGAAGACCCATTTATGCTAAAATTCAGAACATTTGCAAAGAGCCAGTACACATTAAAGAGTGTACCCTGATGAAATATAACCATTTGTTTTACTAGAAATTAACACAGAAAACCAGGAAGAACAACAAGAGCTCCTCAAAACAACAGAAGAGCAGCCACATGCTGCCTGTGGGCAGGAAGAGAGTGAAACAGATGAGTGTATTCATACCGAGGACACACATCTGGAAGAGGAGAAGCAGAGGGAGATGAATATTTACACCGCTGACTCAACAGCAGAAGCATCTCCTCAGTGTCGAAAAGACACTTCTCAAAAACAACAGGAAACACAAGGAGCATGTGTTACGGAGGAGGCTGATAAAAGGTCTGCATGTTCATTTATACATTTACTTAAACTGATAGACAACAACAGCTGCAGAGAACACAATATAGTTTTTTTAAGTGCCTACATGTTCTTCTCACTGTTTGTTATAAGCAGATTTAACAGCGCTTTTAGTTTAGTGAAGTTTTTTTTGTTGATAATCTCTTAAGAGATAAGTTATTTTCTAAAACATTTGTGATGCGCCACGTTGCCTTAAATGAAACTAAACTGAAAATCTTAAGCTGAGCTGAATTCAAAGAGGCGTGTGAAAATGGTCAATTGATGAATAGTTACATCACTAACTGAATCCATTGGCTCCTGTTGTGTGATTCATGTGCAACTGTAACTGTACAGCTTCATTCTTTAGTGAATGTTACAACAAACCACAATCACCCAGTATCTGCTTAACCTGCAAAACCCAGGACAGTGCATCTACACCCATAGTATACAGGCTGTTTTAAGTGTAAGTGATTAGACATATATAACAATACTTACAAAACATGCATAACTGAAATACTGATTACTGAGTAAAACAAGGACTTTTTCAACTAAGTTCTTAAGTCATAACATTTTATCTATTTTCTAAACATTTAAATGTTTTTCGTTAGGACTTGCACCAAAATGTTTGTTGTCTGACATTGGAATCAACCTTCCTCTTTTCCCACTTCAGTGATTTAACTCAGCTGTTTTGATTTTAGTCCTGAGACTTCCACAGACCAAAGTTCCTCATCCCTGGAAGGAGAAAGTGTAAAAGAGGAGGCAAAGGAAGAGGCTTCGGCAGAATGGCCAGAGAGCTGGGAAGGAAAGGACGATACCTCGGTGGGTAGACTAATGACTGTCAGCAATGCGATTTTTGTTTAGCTCATGTTTAACAAGCCGATTCAACATGTGTTCGCGCTCTTTTCAACACAGAGTCATCTTGAAGCTCTCAACATCAACCAGAATCCATCAGCACCTCTGGAGCAGAGGGAGGAGAAGCGTGGTGGTCGCCCCCCTAAAAAACAACCCACACACTTCATCACCTTCAGAGCCAACACTCCCGCTGTCCTCTCCGGTTTCCAGCAGCTGCAGGACGAGATGACCTCCCTCCTCCCCTCCTCTGCTTCTCACTGGCAGATCGCCTCCAGCCTCCATGTCACCATGTGCCTGCTGGTGCTGCCCGGCCCTGCTGAGGTGGCCGCTGCCGGGGAAATCCTCCGACAGTTTGCTCATCTGGATCGTAACCCTCCCGTTGCTCTGACCTTTCCCGTGAAGCTGAAACACTTCAACGGGAGGGTGCTGTACCTGAGCCCCCAGCCTCAGCTCCTCCTCCAGCAGCTTAACAGCGGCATGCAGGAGGCCTACAGGAAGGAGGGCCTGCTCCACAGGGACTCCTTCAACCCACGCTACCACCTCACACTGGCCAAGGTAGACAAAAAGGAAGGGGAGAGGATTTTTGAAACGGTGGGGGACCTGAAAGTGGGGAAGGGGTTAAACTTTGGTCGTCTGCCAATAAACACCTTACACCTATGTGCCATGGGTGGCCCCAAAGTAGACGGTTTTTATGAGACAGTGTGCACAGTAAATCTTAGATGATAGAGGAGTTGACTTTATTTACATGCACACACTACCTCCATGTACAGTAATACTGGAGATACATGGATGGGTGCAACACCTCTGACAATTGCACTGGTCATGTGGCCTTATACAACCAAATCTGGTGTCTGTGCTTTAAATTTTGAATTTGATAAAAAAAAATGTTTTTTACCAGAAGCACTTTAATAAAGGGGTAGAAATTAGAAGGAAGGCCTGAAGGAAGAAAAAACTAACTTGATGCAGTGTCGCAAAACGACAAAAAGCACCGTGCAATAATAAAACTTCACTTTAGTTACATGTAAAAGGTTACACTACTTCTGTTTAAGTTAAATTAAAAATACCAGATCTGAAAAAAATGCATGTATTTTTAATACATATCTTATTTACATCAATTAGCGACATTTACTTGTTTTAGAATATTTCTAGATGAAATCTCTGCTGCACAGAGGCTTTATTGTTTTTGCTCGTTTTCAACTCTATTTGGGCCTTATCAGAAATGCTTTCTTATCAAAAACATTTCAGAATTAGACCGTATGTGATCAATTTTTTTTTTTCAATTTTTCAATACACAGAATAACCAATTGCAACTAATTTATGAATGTAAATTTATGAATATTTTAATTTGAGCAAGATGCAAACAATGTATTTGCTCTAGCTTCTCAATTTTAAGGAAATGCACATTGTTTTTAATTTTTTTACTATCTTCTTAAATGTAATGGACCAAATGTAATGTATTTCTTCATCACAATCCACGTTAGTTGCAGAATTAGTCGAATTGCAACCTCTAGCATAAGCCCTGAGAAACAGTAAAACATCGCCAGCTGTTCATTTGTAGGTAGGTCAGATCTGGAGTCACACACTAATAGATGGTTGTAAAGGATGTTTCATCATCTTTGAGACTTGATTCTCACTGAAAATGCAGCGCAGACTTCCAACTTTCTCATAAAATAGAAGCCCCTGAGTTGAATGTAAATAGTTTCCCTCCTTTATGTTATGGTGCAACAAACTAGGTGTACGCTGAATGCAGGCATACTTCACTTTGATATCTACGTTTTTTACTGCTGCACAGACAGGACGTATGCACTCGTTGTTAAGGCTTATGAGCCACACATAGATCGTTTATGAGGGGAAAAGATTACATTTTCTTGACGGCCATGAATTAATCAAAGTGCTTGTAATCTGGAGCTCTTAATGCCTCGATTTATACAGCCTGTTTTCTATGAATATTGTATGCACTGTTTTCAACAGAAGCCTTTGTATGATTTTCAATGAATGATACAGACTCGATTGTAAAGTTCATTAAATATAAAACTGGCTGTTTAAAATCCTGTGTGTTGTGATGTTTTATCAAAGCAGTGATGGATGTCCTGGATGAGTTACTGTTACTGTTGTTGTGATATTAAGACACACGGAGGAACAACTCTTGCATAGGCCTACATGTCTGTCATCTTTCCCGTCTTCCTCATACACTCTTCCACTATATAATCTGTATATCACAGCTGGAGACTTTCCCTGTCAGACCGGGGGGGGTCTCCCGAGGTAAAACGTGACGTAAAAAAACAACGAGGAAGTAGCGGACGAAGCAACAGGTTCTGCTACACAGCGCTATAATGAGAATATTTGCCATTATATCAATGCTATGTGTAGTCCAATGGAATGACAACATCCACAAAAGAGAGGAGAACAACATAATGGCCAAGAGAAAACTTAATGCAGCCGTGCAACAGTCACAGTAGGCTATATAAACCTCATTATTTTCCTATTGGCTTGAGCTGAATCCCGGAGAATATCCTGCTGCGTTCTCACATCAACCCACTTGGACTTGCTGCGGGAGAAATACTAGGGTGAAAAGGGTTACAACAGGAGCATATTGTGTGAACAGCCAGGTCGGGAGAATCTCCGGAGCAGTCTTCCCGTAATTATCTAGATATTATCCAGAGTGCATATGTGAAAACGGCTTATGAGTCAGTGAGTATGCTCTCTGGCTCTTTACTGTTTGCTCCCTCGCTCGCATTATCTCCTTTCCTCCCTTCCCCCACTCTCTTTCAGTGACACAGAAAAACTAACGCCGCCCCCTCCCTCTTTGCTCGCTCGCTTCTGCCCCTCTTTCTCTAAAAACACCGTACTCTTTTTTTAATTTTTTTTTTATTCCTTTTGCTGCCATTAAGGCTCAGATCTGCAGACCAATCACCTATGAAGCATCTCCATCAGCTCCCTCTCATCACTTCAGCTGCACCTCTCCTCAACCTCCTGCCCCCTGAATCAGTGCTGATGCTGTTCTACTGCTTTTGTCTTTAAAAAGCCATTGCATGCTGCTTTTCTCCCCCTTCTCTATTCATTGTTTTCTCCGTTTCTCTCCCCCTCCTCCCTCTTTTCTCAACATCCCTCCATGGGAACCCACTTTTGCCCACTGTTGCTCTCCACTGCATTTTTCCCTCCCCTTATTCATCTATGTTTGCTTATTACACTCTAATTGAATCTCTAACTCACATTAGTTCCCAATACAACTCCAGTTAAATAATATGCATCTAACCTGTGAGTGGATTTCTAAACAAAACCTCTTTGCTCAATCATTCAGCACTCACAGTTGGCTGGCAGGTCGACATTTTTTTTAGCCCTTCTCGCAGTAATCTGGTCAAGGTTCAGGCTGGAAGTCTGGGCACAGATTGGTCAGGTTGATGGGAATGTTCGTGGATGTTGGTGGGGGTTGGTGGTAGACGTGTGCCTCTGATATCTGGGTATGAAGTGAGAGAGGGGTTGGACCCCCACTAATCCCCTTTAACAGATTAATTATCTTTGGGCAATATTGTGTTGCTGCTGTGTTGTGAAGTCGTACGGGCGTTAAACTACGAAGAGCTACAATGCAACGATAAAGGGTCTCTTAGGGGTGTCTCCTCAGTCTTAATCCCCCCTCTCTCTCTCTCTCTCTCTCTCTCTCTTTGCTCTCTGACTCTCTCACTCGCTCGCTCTCGCTGAGAGCTCCTCTCCTATCCATCACCACAAGTACCTCTCCACTGTCACCAGACAACCCTACAATTATTGGCTATTTATTTTTTTCAATAAATGTAAGAAAACCTGGCTTATTTTCCCCCCTTTTCTCCCCATTTTGACATATTTTTGGCATGTCACCAAGCCTTTTTTTTCAGGATGATGTTTTTTCAAGAGCATCAAGCGCTGATGGCTGGCAGTGTACCGCTTTGAGTGGGTAAATATTTCACGGACACCGGTGAAGAGAGGAGACAGAAGGAGAGAGAAACCTCCCAACGCAGCCGACAGAGGTAAGAGACTGATCTCTCCCTTATCTCAGTTTTGTTTTTAATTGTACATGTGGTTACTTAAATCATAATTTCCAGTCAAATAGAATATAATATGTAAATGCATTGTTCTGTTAATTTGCATCCATGCTGAGGTTAAAGAAAATAATTTTCACCATCATACTAAAATGGATTCATGCACATCTAGTTCAACTACCACTATGCACTTAATGGATGCATGGTCTCTCATGCAGAGAAAGAAAATCATCACATGATGCTGTAATAATTTCATTGCATCCCATTATTTTTTCCACCTTGTGACCGTTCCATCTTTGTCACATTTTCTCTAAATGATTTTACACTGTAATCTCTCTCTGAGCTGTCTTATCTGCAAGATTATTGAATATTTGGTTGGTTGTGTGTAGGCTTCGGTCAGTAGCTTGGAAGCGTTTTGTCACCATCAACTTGTCATGTCGAGCTCTTGCACACACCACAGCACTGATTCGCTCTGACTTACTGACTATGAGCTGCACTTACTTACCTACGGTCAGCTGCACTCACTTCCAGGCTTCATCTTTGGAGCTGTGCATTTATATTGCAGATGAATGTTAAGTCAAAACTCAAATTAGGTTGTGAGTCTCTTCTTTTTCAGGCTTCAGTTAACAGTATTTAAATGTAGGTAACTTGGCGCCCTTCAATAAAATGTTATGAATTTCTCCTGGCTGGTGTATTGTGTTATGGGGCTGTAATGCTTCTCATAAATCACGGTCATTAAGGTTATTGATGAAGAGGTTGTTGGACAGATACTTGAGCTTTAATGGGAATCGTTACAGACTTTATGAGGCAAAATGCATCATTTCAGCAGCAACAGGACTACATCAATTACATCATCAGCTCAAGTGAGTCCTGCTGTGATAAAAAAAGATGAAGGTGGAGATGATGTCCCCGTGCTAAAGATGATCCTAAATTCAGCTGACAGAGATGCCTCATCCTTGCTCTCATTAGTTGCTTCACAAAATGGCCCTGTACTTTACATTCAGACATCATGGAGTCTCATATCATGCAACTCGTTTCATTCTCGCTGTCGTCTTGAGCTCGATGCAGCGACTGAAAACAAAACAGGGAAGCCTTTTTTTTTTTCTTTCTTAAGAGAGTCACGTTTGGGTGAGAGTCGTTGGTTTTCTTCAACATCCCTCTCCTCCCTCTCTTTTTTTCTCTCTCCTCCACCGACTGAGCTCAAAAATCACATTTATTTGGCTTCACTTATGCAACGGTAACAGGCATGATAACAAGCTGGCAGGAGACATCAAGTCAACTTGAGGCTTCATATCTGTGACAAGTGCTGAGTAACTGCTGCTCCTGGACTTTAACCCCCCCCCCACACACACACAACCCCCACTTCCATCAGCACATCATTAGGTCGCCTCAATAACTGTCGCCATGAGAATCCTACCTACAACCTCATGTGCTCTATCAATGCACATTTCCTCAGTGAATCATTTTGTGCATTGATTGACAACAATACATCAGACCTCCTGCTGTCACGCTGGTGAGTCATCTTTATCTTTAACAGTTTGGTAGGTAGTTTAATTAGTCTCTTTGACAGGGCCAATGTAAACTGCACAGCCAACTATTTGGAATCTGTGGGCCAACTCCGGGGCAGGAAGATTTAGAAATAAAACATACATTTGAAATATGAATAATTAAAATAAATGCAAATGAGCACATCTCTCAAACAGCACATCACCAAGAAAATGCTTAACGGAAATAATAATTGTTTCTTTAAGGTGTTTACAACTTGTTCCAACTCTTTCAAGTAGGATTCCATTAACTGTTTTGTTTACTCCTTTTACCGACACCACTGACTGAGAATTGTCTGATATTGAGAACCCCTAAGATACCAGTCTAATAAAACAACAATACCTGATTTTTTAAAGTTTATTTTGGGCTTTTCATGTCTTTAATGAGAGAGGACTTACTGAGAGAGAGGACAGTGGATAGAGTCAGAAATCAAGAAGAGAGGGTGGGAAGTGGGGAAGGAGCCACAAGTCGGATTTGAACCCTGGGCTGTCTGACCACGGACCTCCATACATTAGGTGCACGCACTAAACACTAGACTACTGGCGCCCCTCAATTTCTGATATTTTGACAGCTTTGACAAACATTTAAACTGTCTGCTAACTCACACACTGTTGTAATAGGTCCAAGTTATCGTCAATAGATAATTAACCTCAAGCTTTGAATTTTAGGGGAGGGTTGGTCATGGTATTGGATCGCTGCATTGACGGGTTTGCTTTGCCGAGGCGCGATTCAACATTTAGGCAGGCTAATAACATCAGTGGTATAGGGAAAACCTTTCTGACAGTGAAAATCATTACCATACAGTTATGTTATCTATCAAAGGGAATGCTCTCCTTTATTGACCCACTTTGTTGGCTGTCATGAACACAACAGGTGTTGGGACTGATTCTCCTTTGATGGTGGAATTATTAACTTACTTGATTATAGCGCTTCTAAAACTGCTTCCCCCCCCCCTCCCAACTCTGATGAATGCACCTAATAGACCTGCCATACGTATCCTCATATACGTCTAATCTAATCAATTCAGTCAAGATAAATGGTTATAAATGAACAACACAACACCAGAGTACAGTCTGTTTACAGTGATGATGTGTGCCGGCCGGATGCGGCTCTCCCAGCGTGTGAACCATTATGTTGGGCACAGTTTTAATAAGGGAAATGGAGTGCTGGCAGTGATTCGATTTGTGACAGTTGGGCTGCTGGAACCATTAAGGTGAACCGGCTTATTGTAATGGGCTTAGAGCAGCAGCCCTGTCTGGCCTGTGGGTGAGCTGTTAACTTGTTCTGGGTCATAAACGCCCCAAATGTGAAAGGGAAATTGTTTGGCGTGAATGGGACATGTGGCTACATCCAAACTTTTTCCATGCAGGGTTTTATGAGCTACGGATTGAATCAATAGTGAGAGTAAAATGCCTCAGCAGTGTAGAACAATGTGCTGTTTAGAAGCTGAGATAAAAAAAAAGATAACAGCTGCATTACGATACAATAAA